TGGTACCAAAATGTGGGCAGCAGATGAGCTCAAAGGGACAGTCCTGGGGCTTGTTAGCCCTGAGCTCAGGCTTCATGGCATGAGGAGGCAGCCAGGGGCTCAGCTGGCAGACACGAGCTTGGGATCTCCTCCACATGGAATTTGAGTGGATCCTGACCTCCCTGAGATGGAGTTAACCCTGCACAGGGGACACTGAGGCAGGGAGTGGCCGAGGGACTTGGCTCAAGTCACGGGGGAAACCTGTTTGAGCCAGGATTTGGGCCAGTGTGTCTCACATCCCACAGCACCCACGGGTGTCAGCTCTGCAGTTCCCCAGCAGGGTGGGTGCTGGGGCAGAACCAGGTTATTGAACCAGCTAAAACCCACTGTGAGGGGACAAACCCCACAGTGGCATTAAACAGGAGCCAGGGCCAGGAGTGTTACTGGTGGCACTGGGGGCTATAACCCTGCCCCAGGCAGGGCTGAGCCGCCACAGCCGTGAACCAGCAGCTGGACACAGCCCCTACACCAGGGACACGAGTGTGGAAATGCAAGGAAACCCCTGGCACGGGGCAGGGAAGCACCTGGCACCCCTCCCACGGCCCTGGTGGGGGTATCAAAGCACCAGGGCTCCCCAGGGACCTGCAGATTTGGAAGCTGTTCCCGTGTCCAGGCACGTGGCTCTGGCGTTGGTAGCTCCGAGTGTTTAATCCCGAGCACCGAGGGCTGCCCGAAAAATGCTTCCCTGCTCCCCCCGAGGGCTGAGCCGCTGCCAGGCATGGATCTGGCTCCCAGCACGGCACAAATCCAGGGCACGAGCCCCGGCTGCAGCCACCGGCGCTTGGCAGGGAGGAGGGATTTCACTGGGATGGGGGAGGAGGGATTAACTGGGACAGGGCAGGAGGGATTCACTGGGATGGGAAAGGAGGGATTTCACTGGGATGGGACAGGAGGGATTTCACTGGGATAGGGCAGGAAGGATTTGACTGGGATGGGACAGGAGGGATTTGACTGGGATGGGACAGGAGGGATTTCACTGGGATGGGACAGGAGGGATTCACTGGGATGGGGTAGGAGGGATTTCATTGGGATGGGACAGGAGGGATTTCACTGGGATAGGGCAGGAGGGATTCACTGGGATGGGAAAGGAGGGATTTCACTGGGATGGGGTAGGAGGGATTCACTGGGATGGGACAGGAGGGATTTACTGGGATGGGAGAGGAGGGATTCACTGGGATGGGG